GTGACCACTTCGACTCCCAGGCCAAGATGAGGCATACATATGCAAGCAGATCTCGTTCTTGATAAGTTCAGAATCAACGGCCACTCAATTCATGATCGACAAACAAGATGTCTCCTTTCTTTTCGTCCCAGCTAGATGTATGTTTCCTTCAAAACTTCTTATTGGACTATCAAATCTAGATACATCCACTGCATCTGGTATTGGGAAGAAACGGAGCACCGTAGGAAGATCACGCCCGTCAAAGCATGTGCCCGGGGTCCAGTCAGCAAGAATCTAAATTTGAGTCTTTTCTCTCACCTGAGGTCATACGTTGTCTATTATGACATGCGCAATGGCTATTTCCGAATCCTATGTTGAACCCACGGTCTGCATATATAAGACGTCAAGCCGTCTGCCTCAATTCTTTCTCTGTAATCTGGTTCCTTTAGTAAACTTGGATAACCTGACTCAAGAAATATGGCCTCTATGAAAGTTGAATATCGCCAACTTGGCAAGTCGGGACTGAGAGTCTCCATTCCGATTGTGCGTCCTTGTTCCTCATGATTTTTACTATGTGTCTTATACCTCCCGTCTATGTAGGTTGGAGCAATGAGCTTCGGCTCACCCGAGTGGGCCGTAAGTTTCTTTCATTCATTCTTTAGTCTCATCGTATGTCATGAGATTTTTGCAGAATTGGGTGATAGGCGAGGAACCGACGTTCAAGATCCTCGACGCTGCTTGGGAGTTGGGCATCAGTACCATTGATACTGCGAATGTATACTCTAATGGAGAGTCGGAGCGAATCATTGGGAAATGGATTGAGCAGGTACGACAACTTCATATATTTTGTTCTGTCAAAGGTGCAACTCTTACTGGTGCGATGTAGAAGAAAATTCCGCGCGAGCGTTTGATTATTGCCACAAAATGCCATGGCCTTGTCGGGAATACACCAGACGTGCGCACTGTGCTCAACCCACACCTCCGCGACCAACGTGACTACGTCAACCAAAGTGGCCTCTCGCGTGCAGCGATCTTCAACGCCGTCGAAGCTTCTCTCCAGCGACTCAAATTGACCTACATTGATCTTTTGCAGATTCACAGGTTTGACCCAAGGACACCTGTGGAGGAAACAATGAAAGCGTTGCATGATCTCGTGCAGAGCGGGAAAGTGAGGTATATCGGCGCGAGCAGCATGCGTGCATGGCAGTTTGCATTGATGAATGAGGTCGCGGATAAACATGGGTGGACCAAGTTTGTCAGTATGCAGAATGAGTATTCGTTGCTCTACCGGGAGGAGGTATGTTCCTCTTCTGTCCCTTTTACTCCCTTCGTGTCCCCCTTCAACCGATTTCCGACATCTGACATTAAACAGGAACGCGAAATGAATGCATACTGCAACTACCACGGCATAGGTCTCATCCCCTGGGCCCCACTTGCCGCCGGTGTCCTCGCACGTCCTCTCGAAGTCAACACAACCCGCAGCGATTCAACCAAGAACACGCCGTTCCATAACGAGCTTACGCCCGCCGACCAGGAGATCGTCAAGCGCGTTGCAGAAATGGCAGCAAAGAAGGGTGTGAAACAAGGTCAGATTGCGCTTGCATGGGTTCGCGGAAAGGTCGCTAGTCCGATTGTTGGTGTTAGTTCGGTCGAGAGGCTTAAGGAGGCGATTACCATGGGGATTGAGTTGAGCGAGGAGGAGGTTAAATACCTTGAGGAGCCGTAAGTACTTCGTTTCAACCTTTTCGTTCCCTATGGGCTTTTATGGATTTGGTCGCGTTTAGGTACCAGCCTAAGCCTGTTCGTGGACACGCCTGATGATGTCGATAATAACTGGAAATTGAAAAGATGTTGGACCTCGTTTGCATGCGTTCCTTTGTGTAACATTCAAAGTTTTACAGACTTGTTTATGCCACTGTTGGTTGTTTGCCTCATGGGAAGGTGTTCAAAATTGAACTGTCAATATATTGAGTTGTGATCTCTTACTGAATATCTCATCACCCAACGCTCTTCTCTTCCTAATCGTATCCCAGCAGTCGAAGTAACTATCATCAACAACGCATCTTCGCGATCTCAATTCTGTTATTCATAAACGCACTAGTATAGCACGTCTATGGCCTTCAAGTTGGCGATCCGAAGTCTCTCAGCGGCCACATCGAGCGCTTTGTTCATCTGTTCTATACATTCCTCAGTGGGATCCTGGCTTTTATAGATGGATTTATTTGTAAATGGAAAGAAACAACTTTTGGTCGGGTATACGAAACGAACATCCTTTTCGTCTCCTTCACCTCCAATCCCCAGTCACCGTCGATATCGATGTTGGCCATAGGCATCCACACGAGAGAAGTAAAAGCGTATTCATTCAAATGAACGAGTAACGAAACCACCAACACATCACTCAAATTCCTCCCCGAGGTTGAGCGCGGAGGTGAGATTGGCGCAGGTGAGAGTGGAAGTGGGGCGAGAGTCGCGAGAGCTTGACGAGACCTAGAGAAGCTGTGGTATTGTACAGCGGGTCGTTTAAGTACGACTTGTCTAGGCTGCAAAAGATAATGTCTATTATCGTATTTTTATGGGACTCAGAAGGGCTCTGTGAACGGACATATCATGTGGAAGGAAGGAGACTTTTTACCGATGGAAATTGTTCATGAAGGAACGAGATGTTGGTCGAGGTGTGGAGAGCTACCAGATGCATGAGACACAAGGGGAAGAAAATGCTCGTTTCATGATTCATAAGCTGGGTGGGCGGTTCACGATTGAGAGCGTCAGAAACGAAGATGCTCGCCTTGGAATAGATTCTTCAATCGTACCGATCGTGATTTTCTCCGAGTCAGCCACTTGCGGAGAAGTGCATCTACATTACTCAGCCCATAATGGTTCACGACCGTCCTCTTTCACTTTCACATTGCAGCCAAGTACTCGCGGACGCCTAGACAAACCTTTCCGTCTTCAGTCTCGCTTAAAGATCCAGATGAGTTTATAAGGACGAGAGGAGGGTGAATCACCTGAGGATGCACGAACTTATGAGATGGGAATCCAAATATGGGATTGGGACACAATTCCAAGGTTACTTCTTGGGTATGTATTCAGAGGATGAATCCATACACATTTGACTCTCCGAAGCATCCTTTGATCAAGGGGACGATGAAGGAAGTCAGCTGCGTCACCGCGCACACGGGGTTTCTGATTCTCTGCTATGAAAGGTATCGAACAGCTTGGCGCACTACCCCTGACTTTGTCCTTACTCTGAAACCCGAGTCATATTGACATTGCGTGTCTTGGTGTCAATGTAGTGATACAACGGTGTCGCCGAGTACCAGTTAGGATGATGGCGATCCAAGAAGAGCTGTAAGCAGCCTCTCTGCAATTATATCGTGAACCTCCGACGTAGGGTGTAAATCATCCGCCCAAATGCAACCACACTCGTTCGTCGGGTCGTCTTCGCTAAAGTCATATTCCAGCGGGTCATCAAGCATGTCGGTGAGCGCCTGATGTGTTGAAAAAAGAAACGTCGTCGCCTTTCCACTCGACAGGGCAAACTCAACTGTCTTTGTCTTCAATAATTCGTTCCAGGCCTTTATGCGCTCTTCCATCACTTCTGCAGACTCGGATGTGATGGCTACGGCTGAAGAGTTAGATGTGTGTGTAATGGACGATGAAGATCATGTGAAAACACATGGTGACGATACCTTGTGGTGAGCGGTCGACGGGCGGAACATCAAAGAGGAGGAAGTTTCTAGCTCCTGCTTTGACATAGAGGTCGTGAAGAGCGTCAAAGATGGTCTCGACGATCGGCTCAAGCTCGTCTTGTTCAGTTGCTCCACAATCGTTGATTCCGAAAAACACACCTGTCCGTGGCCCACTGTGAGTCACTATGAGACTAGGCAGTAAGGTAAAGTGGCAGAGAAACGAACAATAAATTGTCCTGTCCGGATCCCACGCGCGCGCTCGATCGTTGGAGAACGTCCTGAGGAAACGAGATAGCTGATCTGGAAGAGCATCTTCTGCAGTCGCTCCAGGAAACGCTAAATTCAAAAGTTCTGACTCGGACTGATCGGTGTGTACCTCGCCGTCGAAGGTGGTCTACCTAGAATATTATTTATGGGATGGATCGAATGAACCAGTCGATAGCTCACTACGCACCCAGGTGTCACTTTCGTCGGTTTTGCTATAAGAATCGCCGCTGTTGAATGAGGGAGCAGCGCGGGTTTAGTAGTCGGACTTGTGAAACATCAACGCGGTATTGCATACAAGACGACGAAATTCTGGAATGAGCGTCTTGCGTGCCAGTGTGAGCCTCCATGAGCTACTGTTAGATAGCCTGTATCCGTTTTATAAGGTATGAATGACAATCAATCAATTGAACTTTGTACGAACTGGAGACAAGGGGTAGCTGAGCCGCGGGAGGGTCTTCCGACTCTGACATTTTTCGCAAGACGTGTGAGTTCTCCGCATCTGGAGCCTTGTTCGAAGATCGTGCTTTCTTCGGATCCATGTCTCGACCTGTCTCGTGGTGTGTGATACACTGCTCGCGTGAGCATGGTCTTCACTGACACCTGAGTCCCCCGGACACGAGATTCCGAATGCATCGTTTGCGTTTGTGAGAAGAGATCATAAGTATATTGAATAATGATCGATGGTAATATGAAAAGTGAAAGTGTACACGCGACTCGGAGGAAATTCTGTCAAAGTTTACATAAGAAACGCGATGCACAAGTCGCGATCTCTGGAATCAACGTGACCTTATCAAACCTGCGTATTGATCGTTGAGGTACCTGTAACCTCAAAAACAAAACATTGGATCATGGAAAGCGTACATGTGTCAGCTGTATCTGTATGCATCAAGATGGGACCAACCACGAAAATTTTTTTCTAGATTTAAAAAAAGCACGACAAGGATTTCTCTTCCGCTGTGGCCTGTTATGTATCATGATTCATATTATCGGATGGCAAAGATTCCAGCCCAATGAGGTAGAGTACGCGACACAACAAAAATTTGACATAACTTAAAATTTCAATATCTCTTTGCCTGGGAGTCGAACCCAGCTTTCGCGCGTGGAACCATTGGAGAGGAGCAAATGACAGGCGCGTGTACTAGCCGATATACTAGCAAAGAAATCACCAATCAGACTGTATCACATTATATATATATTCTTTGCCGAGCAGGAACCGAGCGGATTTCTGCATACATACATACATACAATACTCCCTAACTCAAAGTACGGAAACGTTGAACCTGAAATATCGAGAAAGAGACAACAGACCACAACAAACCATCACCAGGAAAAAAACACCATTACGTTACTACTTTCGCATTACCTCTCTGCCTGGGAATCGAACCCAGCTTTCGCGCGTCATCACTGGCAGCAAATGACAGGCGCGTGTACTAGCCGATATACTAGCAGAGAACACATTGATACCCTCTCGTGTTCCTACCTATGACAGCGCGGATTCAGCCCTTTCCGAGCAAGGGAATCGCGGTATATGAAACAGAGTGGATTCTACAAAAGGTTGAGTTAAGATGTGTACGACAGGGGGCAGCGTGAGATATAAGACTTGTTGTACACGCAGAAGACCCCGATCTCAGAACACAATAAAGTGCATTGTACCCATGGCTTATGTGCCACAATTTACATACATACATAGACACAAGAAACAAAAAGGACATATGGCATAGGTTCCGGCCATCTCTCTGCCTGGGAGTCGAACCCAGCTTTCGCGCGGAATCGTCAAACTGGCCAAATGGCAGGAGATGACAGGCGCGTGTACTAGCCGATATACTAGCAGAGATTACAACGGTATCATCGCCTAAATAGCCCTTTCCAAACACGGGGATCTCGGTCTAGGAAACGGAGTGAACTCTACAAAAGGTTGAGTTATGACAGGGGCAGCATGAGATACAAGACTTGTACTAAGCAGAACACCATGATCTCAGAACACAGTAAAGGACATCATACCACCCGTGGCTTAAAATTCACATACATCAACGGACCGAGGAGGAGGGTTATTTGACACAACAAAAATGACAAAAAAGCATCATTATCGCTCCAACTGGATCTCTCTGCCTGGGAGTCGAACCCAGCTTTCGCGCGAAGCTGTCGTATTAAGCGCGATGACAGGCGCGTGTACTAACCGATATACTAGCAGAGAACACAAATGTAACGATGTATCACTGTCTATATGAGCCACGAAGCTACATCCATACCATACATACCTACCATAATTTCTTCCTAACTGATCAAAGTACGGAAACCGTCGAACCTGAAATACCAACAAACAGAGAACAGACCACAACAAACCATCACCAGGATGACAAAAAAGCATTATTATCGCTCCAATTGGATCTCTCTGCCTGGGAGTCGAACCCAGCTTTCGCGCGTCGTCATCTCACACTACAGCAAATGACAGGCGCGTGTACTAGCCGATATACTAGCAGAGACCACATTGGTCCCCTCTCATGTTCTTACCTATGAGAGCGCGGATTCTACTTACACTACGAGTTCAGAACCCACCGACGATAATTAATACAAAAGCGCCGTTATCCAGTGGTTGAGTTAAAGTATAGTCTAAAACACGTTTTTCGTGCCAAAAAGAAGAAAAAAAAAAGGAGCATCGTCATCATCAGCAGCAGCAGCAGCACTCGAGTCGAGTCGATCAACAATCGGGACCATGAACGTTGTACTTTTATCAAAAAAAAGAAAAAAAAAAAAGAAGAAGAAGGAAGAGGATCGTGTCGCATCGCATCGCATCGCATCGCATCGCATCGTGTCACATCGTGTCGGAAAGCAGAAAACACGAAAGAAACGCAAAAGAAAACATTGTCCATAACCCTTACGCCCGCCCGCCCGCAACCTCACCTCCCACCCGAACCCGAACCCGAACTCCTCGGCGCCGACCCAGCCGGCGCCTTACCAAGCTTGACCGTTCCCTGTCCACGCCTCGCAGGCTCCGTCCCCGACCCCGCACTCGTAGACCCACTCGCGCTCACCTCCCCATCATCAACCGGCTTCATCGCATCCGCACTCACCCCCGCGCCCTCCTCCTCTCCATTCCCAACAACAACCGGAACGTCCTCCTCACCCCCCGCGCCCGCGCCCGCGCCCGTCCCGACATCAACCTCCCCCTGCACAACAACGCCCCCCAACCACGCATGCCCCGCCATCTCGCGCGCCGACGCGCGCTTCTCGGGGTGGAGTCGTAGCATGGGCGTGAGGAACCCCGCGAGCGCGTCGGCTTCGGTAGATGGGAAGAGGTATTTGTCGTGTAGGACCGACGAGAGGGGCCAGTAGCGCAGTTTCGTTATATGGCGGAGTTCACCTGCCGGAAGCGGGCGCGTCAAAAAGACGGGGCGGGGGGCAAGAGACACGCGCGCGTACCTTTGCGGTTAAAAAACTCGCCAGAGTATTTACCTGAGAAAGCGATGCTGCGGGGGATTTCGCCCATGAGTTCCATGATTTGTGCGATGTGGTCGTCGTCTTTGCTGTAGCGCGATCCAGAGGCGGGGTCGAAGAGGTAATCGCCGCCTGTTATTAGTTCGAATATCTGTGAGCGCGTGAGCGCGATGGGGGAGGTGATGAGAAGAAAAAAAAGACGCACGACACATGCTACGCTCCATATATCCGCGCTGGGACCCCATTTGGCACCGAGTATAACTTCGGGACATCGATACTGCCTCGTTTGTATATCGTCTGTAAAGTGGTGTTCGACCCATGTTGCTGTTGGGGGCGGGGTCAGCACCAAAAGTAGCAGTAGCAGTAGTAGAGTGAAAAACCCACGCACCGTTTCCGAGATCAGCAATTTTGACAGTGATATGCTCGACGTCTCCAACATCGCCGTCGCCATCGCCGTCGCCTCTCATACCCGCCTCTAGGAACTCTGTCAGCGCCGCATCCATATCGACACTCATCATCTTTGCATGACCGAGATCGATCGGATCCTTGTCGTTCTGGACAGGGACAGGGATGGACCCGCGGCGCGGCGGAGCCTGTTGTGTAAGAAGCGAGGGGCCCGGGGCCGGAAGGAGTGACTTGTTGTTGGGTGTGTCGTCGGAAGCGAGCGAGACGTTGCGGACGCCGCCGGCGAGATCTTGGGACGGACGGCGCTGGTCAATCTTGGACATGGCAAAGGCCCAGCGGTCGATCATGGGGCTGCTGTAGGAGCTGCTGGCGGACTCGGCTGCGCGGTCGGCAAAGGCGGAGAGGGAGGACATGCTGGAGGGGCTGGGGAGGGGCTGGGAACCTGTGATGAAGACGCTTTCGGAGCGGGGGGTCTGGTTGCCGCCGCGGCCTTTGGAGGGAGGGACGCCGGTGAGCTTGGGAGTGGGGGAGGAGGATGTGGTGAGTTCGGCTTGGATGATGGACTCGACGTCGTCGATTGAGATGAGGACGTTTTCGGGCTTGAGATCGGTGTGGATGACGCCACAGCAGCGGTGCATGTAGTCGAGACCGAGGAGGACCTGTTTGGCGATCTGCCGCACGAGATGGATGGGGACGCCCTTGTTCTGGTGGCGCTTGATGAGGCCCAGCAGGTTCTCGCCGAGGACCTCGAACACCATGCAGACGTGGGTGCCGTTGGGGCCCTTGTGGCGAAAGTGGTCGAGGAAGGAGATGACGTGCGATCGGCCCGGGTGGTTCGGCGGCGGCGAGGACGACGTGATGAGCCGCTGCAGCAGCTTGATCTCGTCCAGCGCAGTCTCCGTGTACCGCGGCGCAGACTTGACCACCTTGAGCGCAACATGGCGATCGCACTTGGTGTCTTTGGCCAGCCAGACTGTCGAAAAGTGGCCCCAGCCCAGCTTGCGCACGACTACGTAGCGGCCCTCCGAAAATTGGTCGCCGAGCTGGACGGGGTGGTAGCCGCCCTTGACATAGTCTTCCCAGTCTTCTTCGTCTTCCGTCATCAGGGACCCAGAATGTGACGAGTACGACCCGTGCGACATGACTGAGCGGATGTAGGCGCCAACCTCGACGATCAAAAGGCTTTTTTGCCCAAGCCATCCTATTGGCTCATGCTCGGATCAACTCTCTTGATCCCGACGCGTCCACGGAAGGATCTTGAATTCAACTACATGCCGACTCGGGATGCCATACAACCACAACACACATTTCCTCTCGTAATCTCTGCTAGTATATCGGCTAGTACACGCGCCTGTCATATTCCACGCCTTTCATATTCCATGCCTGTGCGCGCGAAAGCTGGGTTCGACTCCCAGGCAGAGAGAGATAAGGGACGCTGCGTTTTTAACTTGAGCGAGCTCTTGCTGCAATTCGAGGTGCAATTTTTTACGTGACTGAGGGTTCATGTAACAGAAACAGTATGAATCTGCAATTGTAAGAGATGTTATCCAAGCTAAAAGGGTTATCATCTTTCTGTCATCTTGTAGGCATTTGTTCGACTTTGATAACTGTGCTATACATACATACATACAAATCGCATGCCTCCAGATTCATGGCATCACTCTCGGTAATATCACATGCTTGCCCTACACCACCACCATCAAATCAAACTATGCATGGCCCCTAACAGGCTTCGGCTCATACCTACAAAAAAAAAGTGTCAACAAACCAAAAAAGAGAAAAGAAAAAGAAACATACGGTTCCTCAAGATATTTCACCTCCTCCGCACTAAGCTCAATCCCCACCCCAACCGCCTCCTCAAGCCTCTCCACCGAATTCGCACCAACAATCGGGCTAGCAACCTTTGTCACCACCCACGCAAGCGCGACCTGTCCCTGCTTCACGCCCTTCTTCGCCGCAATCTCCGCGACGCGCTTGACAATCTCCCGATCGGCAGACGCAAGCTCACGATGGAAAGGCGTATGTTTAGTCATGTCGCTCCTCAGCGTGTTGGTGTCGAGCGGACGCGCGAGGACACCAGAAGCGAGTGGGGCCCAGGGGATGAGGCCGATGCCGTGAAAGTTGCAGTATGCGTTCATCTCGCGTTCCTGTTGAATCACAGATATCAGAAATCGGATGAAGAAGGACAGAAGAAAAAGAACGTACCTCCTCCCGGTAGAGCAACGAATACTCGCTCTGCATACTGACGAATTTAGTCCACCCATACTTCGCCGCGACCTCGTTCATCAACGCAAACTGCCACGCACGCATGCTGCTCGCGCCGATATACCTCACTTTCCCGCTCTGCACGAGATCATGCAGCGCCTTCATCGTCTCCTCCACCGGCGTCATCGGGTCGAACCTATGAATCTGCAACAGATCGATATAGGTCAACTTGAGGCGCTCGAGAGACGCGTCGACGGCGTTGAAGATCGCAGAGCGCGAGAGCCCGTCTTGATTGACGTAGTCGCGCTGGTTACGCAGATCAGGGTTAAGGAGCGCTTGTACGCCGGGCGAGTGCCCAACCAGACCGTAGCATTTCGTAGCGACTATAACGCGCTCGCGTGGGATGTGGTTCTAAACAATCAGAAATGAGCCTCCAGTGTTCCCACAGAAGACTTAAGAGTTCAGAAATCGAAACTCTGGAAATAAACTAACGTACATGCTCGATCCAGTTCCCAATGATGTGCTCTGACTCGCCGTTAGAGTAGACGTTGGCTGTATCGAAGGTGTTGATCCCCAATTCCCACGCAGCATCGAGGATCTTGAACGCCTGTTCTTCGCCCATCACCCAATTCTACACATCAATCTGAAATCAGCGTCTCTGCCCCGAGAAAAGGACCCAGTGATGGACTCACGGCCCAGTCGGGCGAACCAAAGCTCATGGTTCCGAGCTGTAGGTTGTAGACCACACCATAAGCTTAAGGTCGGCGTGAAGATGAGAAAGAAACGCACGATCGGAACCGAGACCCTCAATCCGGATTTTCCGAGCTGGCGATACTCGACTTTTGCTTTTGGAGCGGAAGACATACTTTACGTGCGTGTGTGTGTGGTGTGTGTGTGTGTGGGAGAGCACAAGCCCCCGGGTCTCCTGACTTTATATATACCGGGAATAATTTCATAATCTCAGATACATACCCCTGGCTGACTGTACGGTTTCGGCAAGTAGTTGCGATGATGAAATACAAACACAATCGCCCGTGCGACTCCGACTCCGGCTGGTGTTTGACCAGACCACCACGGTCAGAAATGGAAGAGTCGATGCCTTTGGTGTGTCAGCTGCGGAACGCGTGAAGTGCGGCCCAGAGCGCTAAGCGAATGTATTATGTTTAGGACCCCCATGTAAGTATGCATGGAGGGAAGGGAAAAGGTGACCCCGGAGAGTCATGATCTCATGACGTACGATTTTTATTCAGAGTACTTACGTAAATACCTCCCGCCCCCACGAACACACTATCAAAGTACGTAACCTGAATTCGGGATTCAACTCACGTAAGTAATGGAAGGATTGTATACAGATCCGTCGAAGAGAGTCTCGTCCAGCGAGCTCTATGGACCCCGATAAGGAACTAGCCGCGATAACTTCTTGCAAAGTCACCAAAGCTGTTAGAATATGCTATTTATACCACATTAGACTCAAAATCATCAAAAAAAACCCAAAAAATCTGGCCACCTAAACTCACGAAGAATGTGAGAATTGACGGCTGTTTATTTAATGATGTATCCATTCCAAGTTAGATTGTCAGGGTCGAGATGCAGTGACGAAAAAAAGGTCTTTTAAGAGGACCGAGCAATACGAGGCTTACATTCTAGCGGTATACATCCTGAGAGTTTCGTATACATATTTTCTCAGTTATGGAGAGATCCCACAGGCGGAGGCGTGAAATGAAACGTGAGAAGCCTACAGGGACCCCGTCAAACTTTGAGATTGAGATTCCGTGACGGTGCCGTTCATATTGTTGATGCACGTCTCGCGAGCCTCTACTCATCCATCCAGATCGCGTGAGCCACGCTTGAGAGGATGCCAGGCTGATTTGAAATTTCATCACCGGGCGTTATGTCTGTATGCTTTCATAAAGTTGAAGAAAATGTGGACTTGGTATTCCTCTGAAATGAGAAGATATACAAAAAAAACTCGATGTTCTTCCACAACTTTGATTTTTGTCGCTTTTTTTTTTTTCAAGCCTCATGGACATAAAAATCTAAGTGGTTTCACAAAAGAATTGGTAGAGAATTGTGATAACTGGAAGGGCTTTTACTTCCGCCGTTTCATATGTTTCATATCCGGGTCATCGATAGTACAACTTTGTGGAGCTTCAGAATTCAAATCATTGTAATGGAAGGATTCTATCAAGATACGTTTGACAAGAAGGAAAGAGTTTTGTCACCACTTTTGAAGAGAGCTTTCTCGTTGACGATGGACAAGAAGGCTCGTTTTGTATCTATCCTTAGGTCGACTGTCAAAGACACAAAGTACGTATGGAGACGTTGATATTTAGACAATTCTTGGTTATATTCCCGAAAGTAATGTGGTTCACAATCATTATTCAAGTTACTTTCATCGATCGCCACAATCTGCCATGTGCTCGAGGGCAAGTGGGTATGTAGTTCAGAGAAAAAGAGGATAGAGTCATATATGTCCATGATCTGTCACCCAAAAGCTCAACTGCGACTAATACCCGCCAGCATACAAGAATTAGCTACAGGAACTTTGAAGAAAGGTGATACCATTCTATACATTAGCTACTGCGGCCCTCTTCCTCACCAGTTCTGCGGCCTTTGTTGAACGAGGGACAATCCTACATTTGAACGATTCTGGGTAACTAGATATATGCGAGAGTCATTTACACCCCAAGTAGTCAATAGGAATACACACACCTATAAAGATCCAACCCATGTTTTGGCTCCACCACTCCATCCTCAGGTGGCAAAATGTCAAACGCAGCCAGTATGGTGGGTATTAAGACTGCGAGCGAGTTTTCTGCGAGTGATTTTCCGGGACATACCCTTTTGTTTTCAGGACAACGGGTCAAGACCTCTCATAAAGAAAGAAATTAGTTGATACCTTCGACCATACCCAAAAGCCCAGACGCCCGAGTCTGTTACTGCGTTTACTGGATCTGGATCGAGGAATCGCTCCGGGATAAATAACTGCGGATCGTACTTCTCGTTAGGTTCGAATGCCAGAACCCTATCAACGATCAAAATCGAGACGTCGATTGGTGGAGAAAGAGGCGTACCAGGAATTAGGAACAACAATCGTACCCTTCGGTATGAAATACCCCCGGTACTCGGCGTCCTCCGATGTACAACGCATGATTCCTGTTATCTCAATGGGTAAGAAGAGACCCAGACATCGTTTGAGACATGGCTTACCCAGAGGCAGCGTAGGACGCCATCTCAACGTCTCCTTGATCAGCGCACCCACATACGGGCAACTCTCTCGGTCTGTGATCGTCGGTAGCCGCTCTGTACCTATGACCAGATCAATCTCGTCCTGTGCAAGTTTTTGTTTGTCGGGGTAGAGAGCCATGGCGAGGATAAATGTTAGTACAATCGTGGATATCTACGAGGTCTGATATTAAATATGGAGATAATAGAGTCGTAGGGGACATACTGTCTCACTGCCGGCTGGGGAACGGGAAGAGTCAGATAAGTAGGGCAGGGGGAATGTTTGGACACGACGTACCAGAGTAATTGGTCCCCGCGATCCATTTCACCCGATTCTCGTGCGCGTACGTCGCTGAATCATCCCCCATGTTTTGTAGAAGAAGGTCCTTGACCAGCGAGGAAGGGGCTGTTCCCAGTTCCTATCGTACAATATACGCCAAGTTAAGCGAGAAAAGAGCTAGGCAGCGAGGCAGATGAGACGTACCATCAATTGTTTAACATACTCAAAAGGCATAGTCAGAAGATAGTCGATCATTGCTCTGCCACGGGCGGCATGCCGGTGAAACCGAACACAGGACGGGAGATATTTTACTACGGTCATATTGTTGAACTTTTGATTTGGAAGTAGTAAAGCACTTACGGACGGACAAGAATTCGGCGAGGTATGCACCTGGGACAGCGACTTTCTTAACAAGGGCCATGGTTTCTTCTGCATGTTTGATGTACTTTGAATGCATTCAGTCGTGGATACCCAAAGATGGGATAAGGAACGTACATCCCGACCCGCCTCATCTATTGTCAATCCGTATGTAACAGACAGAGCTAGTCTTGCTGCCGTCCTGTAATCTATTAGTAATGGATCGGGATGAGGTAGCGGAAAAGTACAGACAATCTCACATGTGTGATGTAATCTGCCGGGTTATCTAACAACGACAGACTCAAAAGCGCTGAAAAGTCCTCTTGGCGGCTGTGATGCTTCATTGCGCTCTGGCTGAGAACACTATGCATCATGCGTCTGTGCTCATGCCATTCTTCGCCGTAGCACGCTGGGATCTGGAAATATATATATTCAGTCATGAAGATAAACGGAAAGAAGGCTCGGAACAAACTTGATTGAGACCCATCAACTCGCCCACAACAATAAGTGAGGGACGATCAGAGTATATCAGCGGACATTTCTCAAAGAGGTCGTCGATAACCTCAGGTGAGTTGAGTACAAGAATATTCATCCCTAAGCCATGGAGGAACACCAGGTCGCCTTTGAATATCCAGTCCCTTAGTCCTGTTTTCAATTCAAATGAGGTCAGGGAAGGACAACACACCATAGATAGACTTGTACTTTGTCAGCTTTGTCCATGCCCCGCGAAGGTCGAAGTTCAATAGATTTCCTATAATCGGTTTCGTGGGTGGTCCCGGCGGCAACCTGGACCTTCGAGGGTCTTGACACCGTTTGTAAAGTACGGATAATGAGAACGCAAGCCCTAGGATTAAAGTCGTTTCTGTCACGGTGAATGGCATTTGTTGGGTTGAGACGACAAGTTAATTGACTACAATCATCAACGTTGACTCGAGATTATAGAGATTATAAACGGTCCGTGAAAGAAGTACTCGCCATGCCTTGGTTCCGAATCGGAATCCTTTCGCGTCGAAATCACAGATGAAAGCAGAGATACTACTGCCCGAGTTGTCTTAATCATCATCGGACCACCGAGATGGGTCTATAGACGAGTCCATGGGCATTATAACTTGCAGTAGGAACCATCTATGAGGTAACCTTGACCCGACATTCGCACAAAAGTTATGCCTAGCAGAAACGGGGACTTCAACGATAGAATACAAAGAAAGAATATAGATACACTTTTTGGTGCGATTTAAGAATTGACGTATCCAATAGATTGGCTTTTGTGTGCGAGGGTGTGAGAAAGCAGATGCTTAAGTACAGAAACGGCCACTCCGTAATTGGTCAGACACCACATGCGGGTATGAGACTAGATATGGTGCTGCTCATGCATAGGCCGTGTGGTAGTGTCATGCAGACGTCTGGCCCCTAGGGGTAGGAATAGGTCTGGCGACCTTGGGATGGCAATAATATGTTTCAAAAACGGCGAAACGACTAAAGAGCAAGAGGACGGTATCCCCAGTTCGTTCTGGTATTGAGTTGGGAGGGGTTGCTTACTGCACAAACTGAGCACGTGTGCCGCAACACCACCGAGGTCAGGCTCTAAAACGAGAGAAAATTGAAGTATCAGTGGTGGAAGTCATAGAAGGGTCACTATAAAATGAAACCTAGTTAGCATACTAGGAAGGCTCCTATGGCAGTCCAATAGAGCGATATTGATAGAATAAGCGAAATCGTCAGATTCAAATAGATTAGCGAGGGGGCGCTTAGACCAAGAAACAAGTGAAAGCAAAACGCGTTAAGTAGTTCGGATAAGCCCGAAATTATGCGACAACTTTAACCTTGCTATTACATCTCGCACGCGGGTTTTTCAATCCAAACGGTGTTCTCGTTCGAATTTAGGAATGACTCCACTGAATGATTACGGACCGCTGCCCATCATCTGTGGGGCGTGGTCGGTCGTTCACCTCGAATACTATTGATCGGGCAAATCGGGTCAATCAAACGTCATTTCGACAGAATAAGTTGAGAACAAAAGGGGCGAAATACTCTACAGGAGCCTTCTGCCCTTCATCCTCATCCCCTTCTCTCTACTCTCACCTTTCAAGATGGCATTCAGTACACTCTCTGCCGGCCCCGGAGTTGAGCTCTTATATTGATTCTGGCGAGCCTGCGTCTGGCTCTCCATATACCACCATTGTAGCCATCCATGGGATGTGCTTCTCTAACTGTAAGTCTCTTTCATCATCAAAATCACCAACCACTCACCTTAGACCATGTAGTGATCTTTAAGAAGCTTTTACCCGTCGCCCAGAACAAGGGTGCTCGTGTAGTTGCCCTTAATCGTCGTCATTATCCCGGTTCTACCGAGTATTCTGCAGAAGAGCTAGCAATCGTCGTCAACGGTGGAACCGAGGCTCAAAAGGATGCCGAATTTCAAACACGCGGCCTTGAGATCGCGACGTTTATTGATAACTTTATCGTGCAGTACAATCTTCCTCCGATCTCTGAAGATGGGAAGACTGGTGGCATCATCCTTCTTGGTTGGTCTCTTGGGTCTGTGCAAGCACTTGCGACCATCTCCAGCGCCCATGCCCTCTCCGTTGATGTCCGTGCTCGTCTCGGAGCATATGTCAGATCAGTGATTGTCTACGGTGAATCAATATCAATCTATTGGCCTTCAGAAATCTGATCAGCTCGTTCAATCAGATCCCCATCCGATTCTTCTTGGATTCCCTGTACCCGAACAGAACTGGACCCCTATAATGGACACTTATATCCCCCAAGATCTTCGTCTCTCTGCCTTTGGTCAATGGGCAACTGGTTATTTCGACCACGGCGATATTGCGAAGCGAGATCTTGACGCCCTTCAGTGGGTTCTTCCCTCCTCGAACCATGTCCCAACCCTGTTCAAAATTCCGCCGGCGGACCGGGCTGAAATGGAGTGTTACGGAGGTGACGCATTCAGCGACATGCCATATATGTTTCATTTCTCGGGGCAATTCAAGGCGTCTTATAGAAAAGCCATCAACGATCCTGAGACCTTGAAGATCTTCCCAGCTCTCAGATGTGTTATTCTTGCGGGAGAAAAGTCTGGTGCATTTGCGGTTGCAGGGATGTGGGCTGTGGAAGACGATCAGAAGGAAGCGGGTGGTTCGACTCACCTAGCAGTCAATCTGGTTCCAGGTATCAATCATTTTGTAAGTCTCTTCAAAATCCCTTTCATTCTTTATCTGAGTTTACTGATCCTATATATATCCAGTGGCACTGGGAGGATCCAGAGAAGGCGTTGGATTATTTTCTGGCTTGTACAAACTAACCGTGATCTGAAAACAAAATTTTTTGTGTTTTTCCTTGTCACGTTATCCTAACATGATCATCATCCGCAGACGGTCAAATGCCGTTGCAAGGTTCAGTTGACGGTTCTTTTCTTGAATCTCATCGCTCAGGTTGAACACAGCCAATGACGGAAGCTTCAAGATCAGTGCTAGTAATCAGTCTCCACCAAAAGAAGACACAGCAAGATCAAACAAATGTGGTATGACCGAGACAGGGATCGAACCTGCAATCTCCTGATTTCAAATTATGTCGTAGTCAGACGCGATGCCATTTCGCCACACGGCCTTGGCTTTTACTTTTCAACAAGCTCTAATCGGGGAAGAGCTCTCAAGTGCAGATCGGATAATTCTTTATAACTGCTTCACTTTCTTCATTGTCGATGGCCTCTCAAAACAGCCTTCGACAGTACTAGGAGCTCCAATATCTGCCATCAATTCATTGCCAAATGAGATCTTGTTACTCATTTTCACTCAAGCCTATCTGGACGCGCAACAGGATTTTGGCCGATGTCGTACCCAGTCCGACGAGGAGGACCTGCATCTTTTGTTCGACTGGTACTGGCGGCGTAAATGCAAGACCTAGAAACATTTCTGCGATCGAAACTGATGATCTCCTTTCGTTGGCGACGCGATATTTAGGCGACATGCTCTCAAACGAAATTCTAATGAACATATTCACCTACGCGTACTTTGGCGAGCGACAAAACTTCGTACTTGTGAGGCTTTAAAGGTCTTAAACTCTGTGGAGGATTCCGAGGCAACATACAAGTGCAATTGCACCGAGGAAGAGAAGACATTACACCACAGCAAAGGCGCAGCGTCGTAGAATGTGAACCCAAATTTTGGACGCGTATCTATGCATTTGTTGGTGCAAAACCCACGGCTGTGTACCTATCTCGAGTTCAAAGACAGCTAGAGTTATCGGCAGGGCAAGACCTTGATATCGTGGTAACAAGGCGATCTTTTCCTAACGATCAATGCTGCGCTGTCATTGACAGCCTGATGCCCCTCCCCGTTGCTGGAGTCTTGTTTTTGGAGTCTTGTTTTTAATGTTCTCTATGCGTCACCGCTTTCGTTTATCCTACACGACTTCTACGGCACAGCGCCTCTCGACAAGCTCATTCTCAAGGCTTACATTGATGATGGACTGTCGACTGGCCGACGTCAAGAGAACGGCGTACCCGTAGGCACCTTCTTCACGCCTTATATCTCCGTTTTGGAAATCGACAGTCGAAACTTCGTCTGCGCATATCCGCGCTCACACTCGTGGCGAAGGTCGTTGGCTAATCTGCCAGAAGACACGCGTCTTTCTCTTACTATTTCAACTTTAAAACCTAGGGAGAATTGGACTGACATTGAGCTTATTCTCTTGAAATTCATTTCATACATCGGGAGGCCTTCTCCGTCTTCGCTCGCTTGCCCCTGTCGACGCCAAATTCCACGTCCAATTCCTTCGCAATTTGATGAATACTCTCCCTAACTTTCCACTCACTACGCTGACTCTGACAAGGCTCAGTACGTCAGCACTCGAAAATCTCCGTTTCTATAGTTCGTCGAGAGCTCATTAATCGTCCAATGTGAGCTCTCAGATGGCGAGACCGATGAAAGGGCAATCGACACAGGATGTCTACACTGACAAGATATCGAGTGGGAGCATGACGAGATTTCTTTCTAGATGGCAAAGATTCTCATCGACCGTCGTTGGATGCCCTTTATTAGACGAAAAGGCCTTGGAAGGTATATATTTAGAATCGTTTACGAATTTCTCTTGATGGGTTCACTGCGTCTGGTCTCAAATGCACAATGGAAGGCTTCTCAAGAGAATAAAGATGATGATAAATCTCTCTCTTCGGTAGAGGTGTCGGGACATGGTCCAGCCCCGCCGTTTCAGTTGGAAAGAGATTTGTATGGAAAGTTAAAGAGAGAGGTGTGGTGTAGTCATCGAACTAAAAAATCGCAGTCATGTTGTGAAATAACAACGGTATCTTGCATGATGTAGCTGGCATCCTCCCCATCTCGTACGGGCTGCATCCAAGCTCCGCAACGCTATCATTCAGCGCTGGTGGCGGCAAATCACCCTACCAGATTGGTGATGTTAGTGGTATCTTGTATGTCACGAACGCTCGTCCTCTACTTCGATGGGGTTCAGTCGTTCTCTCACGGTGAAAGTTCAGCCTAAGATCCCCATCACAGGCTACCGAGTTTCTCATCTCGAGGAAGCTGATTGTTTCTAGACTTGCCCTGGTCCCCACCAAGATCCTGGGAACGTCTCTCGCGTCTCCTCCAACCAGACCATCGCTAGTGGAGCCGAAGATGTCGACGCCAATAAGGGCCAACCTCAGCCAGCTGTGAGTGTAAGATGCTTTATCTTTTCACGTCGATATTCACTTCAGGTTAAAGAACGCGGCTACTATCATTCTCTCCGGCGAAACCTAGGTCCTCGAGCGCCCTGGTCAAGCCTCTTTGGTATTCAAACCATCGTTGACTATCCTGGCCATCGGCAACTGAACTGCAGCTTGTGTCTTAAATGTCTCAACCGTAAGCCTTTACTTCATTCGTTGCGCTTCAGCCAGTTAAAGTGTTTCATATAGTTTAGTCGCTTCGATTGACACTCGACACCCGCAATCTCGATACCCTCATATCGATTATTGACGCTCGGCCCGAGAGTCCGAACATTGCTTTGTGGGATAACTACAAGCGGTTTTATGAGCAGGAAGCTCCTTGAATAATCCACCTGACCAGCCGGCTCGACTCTCACTAAGTACGTCCAAAAGCTTGACCCGCTCTTCTGAGGGAATCTATGTGGTAAAGTTGCTCAATAATTGATTCTAAACCAGCGCCAGTTCCGAGATTTAGTCAAGCGTCTAGATTTGGTATTCTTTTTTCAACGATAGAGCGAACTCTGATTCTCCACTATGTATGTAGAAAACACACCCTGGCTGCGAGTGGAGCTCGATCTTCAAGAGATCATCAACACTCCGTGTATCTCGGGCATCGCTGCTTATGGGTCCGTTCATAACCGGCGTTGACCTCATTTACCCCGTTGGCGCCCTGCTGCCGATATGAGTGACATCAAGGCCTGATCGCCTATGTATGTCATATTCTCCTCTCGGGCTCGAATTATGTCGCCTTTCTCCAATGTATCCTGCGTAATTGGTGGCATCGTGGACTCATCAGTCTCTCGTTGTCCCATCCAGCCCGCCGCGCACATACGGGCAACTATATGTTTCCGTTATCGCCGAATGTGCTGTTTAGCTGCTCAAGGGGTCAATATTTCCGGTCGCCAATCAATCAAAGAATTATCCTTCCTAAAATTTTCTGTATCAGGGTTCAACGAATTAACACAGTGGTTAAGACCAGACATATTACACAGCTTCTTGCACTTCCTTAGTTCTCGTCAGAGTTAGTTCCTCATGAGGCCTCAGCTTGAGAGGAGCTTTAAAAGGGCTTACATCATGCTCTGATCAATTTTCGAGTTGATTTTCCATGTCCATTTAAGAATCGTTCTATAACTGCAGACGTCCCTCATTGTCTATCAACTTTTTTTGTTTCTCGTTCCGCCGAGATTTTCAAGGTGATAAGCATTTGTGATCAACAGGATACACAATCACCTGGTGGGTCAAATGACATGATCCAATGATTGCGGCTTGTACCGAACCTCTTGGCCACCTCCTAAACGGCGCTTCTTCTGAGTTGTTTCCCTCAACGGCTTCATGGACGATGCACGTCTTTCACCTCCCCAACAGGAGTTCAAGAGCCTCTATGAGACCAGTTTTGGAGAGGGAAGCACAGTTCACGCAGCTGAGGCTCAGTACGTGCCGCCTGCAGCCACCGCGACGGTAACGTCAAATGGACCTGTGACATGTGAGGGACTTATTCTTTACTTTTATATTTTATCATGCTTCTAATGGCTCACGCTTCTTTCGTCGTCAACTCTGGACATCATTCCTCCGCATCAGTTGATGATCCGCTGGACCTTCGGCGCGCGCCTATGTCTTCAGCCCAATACCATGGAACATCTTCCGTATCGAGGTTATCGCTTCCTTTCACGCCTTTTCAAGATGTCGATTCTACGTTTATAACCCGGGAATTGAAAGATTCGGCGTCCCTACCGCAGGGCGCTCAAGCCCCAGTCTCGCCAGGCCAGTATCGTCAAAATTTCTCCTCAACTCTGTTTCATGCACGAGGCACCGACATGAGTCGGGTACATCAGTGGCCCCCTATCAACACTTTCAATACTTGGGATGCCCGATGTGAACTCTCAGGCCATACCATTCAACACTCTCCAAAAAATCGCCATGATATCTCTCCAGTGGTTCCATCTCTCTGTCCGTGATCTTTCCGTTTCATCTATTTCTCCAAGGCTGATGTAGGTTTAGATACCCAACAGGAGTGCCGTGGCATCCCTCCTCAATCCCAAATTATTGATTCGATCAAATCGTCATCATATGGTACCTGCGAAGATGACTTTCAGGCTACTACAGAGTCACCCCCGTTGTCATCCCTATCCCAAACTGATCATTCTCGTATACAATTTCCATTCTCGGGCTTAAATAGCCCAGGCAGGATGTTGAGAAGATTAGCCGACGACACTACGACAATTACTTCACTCTCTAGGTGAGTTTCAACGATTCTCTGTAGGTATTTTCCTCTCATAATAATCTTGTGAAAGCTCAATAACGGGAATTAACCTTGATTTATTTCTGCAAGGAGATGCAGAGCACCGACGAGATGACGTTGATGAGAGCGAGCCTCCTTTCATTCACCTTTCTCTGCTATCGTACTTAGCCTTTCAGCTCGAAAAGAGAGTCCCTCGGGCCAATCATTTTAAAGGGAGTGTCCAGTATGAACAGACGTTTACAGGGAAGGACATTGTGGTAAGTATCCGTGACCAACTGATTTTATGGGGAACGCTAATCAAGTTGAAGTCAGCAATACACGCCCAAATCCAACGCGAGTTGGTAGTAGCTAATGGCTTGTTGATCACCGATCGACGAGCATCACTTCAAGTTGCAAGGAGCTTACAGAGCCAACTCTTCTTCACCGAAGTTGAATGGGACGACTCAAAGAAGGTGCAGGACAACTCAGTGGATGTGTTCAACTTTCTGGACAATGCGATGTCATTTGACGACGAATTTCATGATGACCTGCCTACCGGCGTTGTGACAATTCTGACACGGTGCTATTCTCCAACTTGCTCGGAGAGTGCTCCCTGCTATTCATACGTCTGCCCTCGAAAGGTAAGCAGAACTCAGGATTCTCGTTATATCAATTCTGAGTAGAAGG